TAAAATAAAATAAAATAAAATAAAATAAAATAAAATAAAATAAAATAAAATAAAATAAAATAAAATAAAATAAAATAAAATAAAATAAAATAAAATAAAATAAAATAAAATAAAATAAAATAAAATAAAATAAAATAAAATAAAATAAAATAAAATAAAATAAAATAAAATGCAATTAGAAAAAATTAAATTAAGAGAAATAAAATAAAGTCAATAAAATAAATAAAACAATATAAAATATGTAAAATAAACAAAATAAAACAAAACGAAAAATGTATATAAAACAAAATCAAATAAAACGAAATGAAAAGAAATTATATAAAAGAAAACAAAATAAGATAAATCCAAATAAAATGTAAATGTAAAAACGTAAAAAAGTAAAAAGGTACACAATTTTTTTCGATTTACCATAAATGAGCTCCGCGAAATTTGCACATTACAAAAAACACTGACTTCCGACAGTCACTTAGTCATTTTACGCAAACACAAGCAATTTGTCAACTCACCGAAGGGCACCTTATCGTCGTTGCTGTCATCCAACGATATCGCTGATGAGGAGCCGTCGTCCGATTCTTCAGCTGCATTGTCGGTGTCAGCGGGGGCGGCGGTGGCGGCGGCGGCGGCGGCGACAGCAACAGCAGCTAACATCGAATCGCCATCAACATTACTATAGTCAGCACTTTCCAACTCCAAAGCAACATCCTCGTCCGTGGCAACACCACCGCCATCACCGGCTCTGGCAGCCACATAAGTGGACGCACTAAGCGCTGAGGAGTTGCGTGATTTTTTATTTTGCCTTTGACGACGCTGTTGCCGGCGGTGTTGTTGCTCCTGCTGCTGTTGCTGTTGTTGTTGTCGTCGAAAACGTTGTCGCTGTTGCTGGCTTTTACGCCGTTGTTTTTCTTTGACCAATTGTTGCTGCATCCTTGCCTCGAGCGAGCCTATGCTAACTGCGTCTACATTGCGTCGCTGCAAATGACTAAGTTCGCTGCTTGACAATATTGGCATTGGCAAAGTTAGCGCTACAGTATGTTCATCATCATCGTCCTCTTTGCTGTCACTATCACCGGCAATGTCGGTAGCGCGTGCTGCCAGGTGAAGTGATAGCAACACGACTAGGAAGAGGGAGATAATGCAAAAGTGCCGGTAATGCATTTGTGTGTGTTGTTGTTGCTTTGTGAGTTTTTTTTTTTGGTATGAACAATTTGTGTGCCGCCTTTTGTGGACTACGTCTTTTTTGGTATTTTTTTTACTTTTTGTTTTGTTAGAAACTCTGTTCCTGAGTTATTTCGCAGGATACGTTAATTGTTGTCCCATTATCACTTTATTTTCATTGCTTTTGCGTTTGTGTGCTTTACGTACGAGTACGTACTTTTCACATTATTCACTCATGGAATTTATGTCATTCAATATTTATCACCGGAAGTGCACCGGACATTTTCACTGCGTAACGTCTTCACTGCGCTTTACTTCATTTTTGTTCACTTTGCTTGCGATAATTTTCGCATTGCATTCACATTCGTCTGGCATTATCAGTCGCGTCACCACTAAGTGGAAAATAATAAATTTAAAACCACTTGACTTTATAGAAAAACAGACTTATTGTTATGATTTTTTGCTATCTTCATATGTGCATATATACATATATATATTTTTTAATTCAAATTAAAGTGCACATCACGAACTCCACAAATCAAATAGCAAATTTCCAACATTAACGATCAAACAAGCGCTATTCGTTCGCATTCGAATGTCACAATTATCTCGGTTGTGTCATGGCTTTTTGTGACAATACATTTTCGTTGGTTTTTGTTATTTTTCGTCTCCTAAATTGCTAGTTCTTAATACAACTTGACACTTGAACATCTGCCTACGATTTACTCGCACAATCATCCCACTCGTAGGCGGCTATCTTCATGTACCAGTATGTGCAATGCACTCGTTGGCTTACTTTATATGTTTTTTAATAACTATTAAATTCTTTATGCTCTCAATACAACAATCGTTTTATGTATTACTGTTGACACTACTATTGCGAGTAAAAGTGTTTATTGTTATTATTTTTAATAAACACAATTTACAAACAAGTGATTCAAACCTCTATCTACATACATACATACTACTTTGATATGTACATTAACCGAGGGTATGAGCACATTTGCCAATTAAATTTTTAATTGAAATTTGTCGCGGCATATTAAACGCTCGCATTCATTTGGATTTATGCGCTTTTTTGACATTTCCCATATTTGCAGCTACATACACAGAAACCAATGTACATATGTACGAGTGCATTTATATTTACTTGGTCAAGCTACTGAATTTTAGTGCAACGAATGTTGTGTAGAGTACAAATGTGGAATGCCTGTAGCATTCGTAAATTGTGATTATTTTATACAGTGATGAACTCATTTCGCTCTATTCTAGTGATTTGCATATTTTATCATCATTATTATTGGAACGAATGTAAAAATTAATTTCATAGATGCAACACGCTTAAGTCCTAAGCTAGTTCCGGCAAATAATGAATGACACGTTACTTGAATTTAATAGCAGCTAGGTAAGTTTACTCGTAGATAAACCTGCGATAGGTTAAAAATACATATTTATTGCACTGTTAATTGGAATGTAACGAAAAATTAGCTTCATCTTGATTGTCTATAACAACTTGCTTGTTTTTGTTAAGTCGTTGGATGAGTATAAGGAACTGCCGGAAAAATAAGAATAATTATTCTTGTGCTTGACCAAAAATTCGACCACTATTTTAATATAAGGCTAAGACTTTTTATATAAACTGTGAACGCCTAGAAGAGGCAAGCGAGCGCTGTCCTTGGCGCGATATTAGAAATGTGTTTCGCTACGGCGGACAAAGAAGGCGTTTTTGGCACAATTGCCAGTTTCCACCAATGCACTTTCAACAACGGCGAAAGGTTGGCCGATCGAAAACCCAAATCAATAGCGTTATGGTGAACAAACGAAACGCTTCTAAATACCCTAAATCGGCTTATATCCATGCCAATCGAAACGCTACCAACCTTCTAGACCTACGTTTCATGTAAGGAGCTTAAATCCACTCGTGTCCATGCCTGGTTATAGTACCTCTGTGCAATGTGGAACATGCGTCAGCCAGCACGTCTAAAGTTTGATGTGAAATGCTCAATCTAAATTGGAGTGTCGCTGCTGCTGAGAAGTAACATAATGCGAGCGACATTGAGCAATACCGGAGGAAGATGAATAAGGAGAAACTTGCCTTCAAGTGGAGTAAGGAGTTGTAAGGGGCCGGTAAGTAAGGTGCAGCTTGTGATTCTGGCAGACAGAAAAGCGGATAAAAAAAAATTGTATCAGAAAATAAGACACAAATCGCATGATTTCGAAACCGGGACTGGTTCCAGCAGAGACGAAAATGGAAGCCTAAGAACGATGCTCATGTCCCTAAACTCGACTAATATAAGGTAAGTGGCAATGATTATCTCTCAAAATAAGACCGCAGAACCGACTTTCTTTCCCCAGGCCACAATAAGCGAGATCCATCTGTTTATGCCGCAGCCAATTACGTACAAGCTCCTGTCGATGGCACTGTGTGAAAGACTGAGGTCCTTAATGAACCAACTGATTGGGTATTGTTAGTATGGCTTCATATCTAGTAATTCCATATTCACCAGATCTGTGTAAAATCCTAGAATAAACACTGATAAGAAAATAGACACACTGAACTCCGTCGTCAAGTTTAAAGCGAGTTCGATACCGATCGAAAAATTACATACATACATACGTATGGTATATGGCTATCTAGAGTGACATTGAGCACAAATTTTAGCTCTGTCGAAATTAATGTTGCCATATGCAGATGGTGTTGGACCAAAGGGAAAAAGATGTTGGTTAATTAGATTTCGTCGCTCAAGTTTTGACAAGTAAGAGTTTAACGTGCTACAGTATTCAGTTCGTAATTGCGTCAGAGTTATCGTTGGTCTCTATCCGCCGATAAAACTCTTCCTGTGAAATGAGTGGTAAATAAACTCTTACATCGGCATTCATGGGGTGACATACATAGGTGATGATAGTCTCTCGGCGAATGTCGTTGATGGCCAGTTTGTAGAACGTCTGTCCCAATTGATGTATCTTACTAGTCTCTACTTTACTTTTTTTGTATAGGTGTTAAAAATAGTTACCGAAGATTTCCTAGCTGTAAGAAAAATGCTGGTTGCAGTGGAGCAATTAGTCAGAGTGGAGCGATAGCCGTTTACTTTTAAGCACAATATGTATCGATGTTTTCACGTGACGTATGGCAGCATGACGGTTGCCTTAGCGGTGGTTTCCATATCTCGCACGCCATCTTCAAACAATTAAAAAAGTAGAGATCCGAATATATGACTGCTTGTAGATCGTACAGATTCAACGCAATTCATACAAAAATAAGTATAACAGTAGTTTTCTAGCTCGAGAATATAATCATGAAGAAAAAATTATTTGCATTATTTGGAGATAAATGCTAAGCAAAAAAAATCGACCCAAATTTTTTTGAGTTGTGCCCACTTTGACGATCGTGTGTTATAGGCAATCATTATAGTAGACATCGACGCGAAACTGATGATATCTGTGGGCAATAATAGCCGCTTGATAGTCAGTCACGATCGAAATGCTTTTATATCGGTAGTTTCGCTTGATACTAAATAAAGTCCGCGCGTCTTTTTATAGCATATGTTTCAACCTGGAAAATTAAGATATGTTTCCCATACCCAACCCCTGGCCAACTACACCTATCCCTCTGCAGTCAATAAACCAACAGGTTATAATGTTTTGGTTTATCCGATATGCCTGCCTAGCTCTTCTTATTACTGAGATCAGTTTTGCACCTCTTTGTAGATGCATGGTATCGCTCGGTATTGCAATTTCAACCGGGCACTCCTTCGTCAGGATATAGAATATCGAGCTTCCTGCAGCAAATCAATATTCCAACGAACCAAAAAAAAATCCTATTTGCCTTCTCGATGATCACCTAAGCTGAACTCCAGGTGAATTTAGTACTCGCGGATGCGTTTGCCGTTATTTTTTCCATACATTAATATTTTCAAAATCACCGGAACATCCATAAAGTGGTAGCGGGAACCATTTCAATCACAATTTGAAAAAGAAAAAACTCTCTTAGGTACCGCTTTTACCAGTACATATCGTCGTTTAATGTACAAAACCGCGCATCGTTACTCTGCAAAACCGCGTAACTGGCATTAGCGGCCAAAAATTGGATTTGCTCACACAGACTCTTGGCTCAATCCTTATCCATTCGTCCTGAAATACACTGGCCAGGTAAGCGATTGCTTTATAAAAAAAGATAACCATTTTGAAATATAAGTGTTTTTACTCTCTAGAAGATAATTTACATAATTCACATACGCGGTTTTGCATTTTGTTGATACGCGGTTTTGTACTTTAACGACGATATGTACATGCAACACCAAATTGAAGCTTTGAATAATAAGTATGTATTCAAATTACTCCCAATGAACTCACTCCACTGTCATAAAATTAATTAGTCCTCACTTCATTTAATTCCACCCCCAAGCTCCCGTAATATTCACTGTCCACTTTTGCTCCAAAACGCGACGGCATTAATTAGTCCAATTGACCTCCATTTCGAAAGTCAAAATTTTAAATAAACAAGGCGAGCAACAACAAACGACACACGGAATGAGAGAGAAGCAAACGACAAGCGAATGCAGATAGACGACATAGCAAAAATACAAAGGCAAATAGAGGCATTTGTATGTAGTATACACACAAACACCCTCACTCCCGCACAAACACCGCTTACAAAGCGCGGCAGACAGCTGCCAAAGGCTGAGAAGTCATTGAATAGCGAGGCATTTTAGCTTGTTAAAGGAAGTCAACCACTGACAAATGCAAAAGAAATGTATTGTATGCTTTTGTATGCTGAAAGTAGTTAGTAATTACTTTGTATACAAGCGTTGAAGTAGGCGGAAAGCAGCACATAGTTTCCTGCTGTGCGGCAATCGAGATTGAGCGCACTTACAAGATGAGGCTTTTAGCGGATTGTCTGGGCAGGCGGACGTGCACGGACGTTTTTATCCTTTACGAAGCTTTGGTAAACGTACATATGTCATTACATTACCGTTTTCCCACCAAATAGTGGGTGGACTATGCACGCCACACTCTGTAAACATCAAAGAGTTTTCCCACACAGAGAAATGTGCCACACTTTGATGTTTCTAAATTGCTCTCAGCGGTGGGCAAGAAACAAAACCAACAACAAAAACTGTAAGCATGCGTAAGCACGTGGATAATGATGAAAAAAACCGATTGCATGGCGATGCAACTAGCGGCACAGCACTGACAAAGTGTATCGGACTTTTTTTTTATTGTAACATGTTTGCTTTTGTAGCATACTTTGAGGCGCGCAAACACGCCGCGCACACACAACACACACTCTCTCTTTGTGTCTCTCACGTTTTGCCGTGTGTGTGTGTTTGAAGATGTGTGCGCGCGTGTGTTTGCCAGCAGCATTTGTGTGCTATGACACGAAGGCGCAGAA